GAGAGAGAGAGAGAGAGAGAGAGAGAGAGAGAGAGAGAGAGAGAGAGAGAGAGAGAGAGAGAGAGAGGTAGGGCAATGGTCTTGAGTGCTGGTCACACTGAGGTAGGATAGTGGGATAAGGGGTGCGCTAGGAGTATTGACGTGAGGATGGCATGGGAAGGTGGTCTCATATTCCAGGAAACCCACGGCTCACAACTCCAAGTTATCACTGTGCACTCAGTGACTGGCCTCTACAACGCCCTACACTTTTAGGGKGAAAAAAAAAAAAAAAAAAAAAAAAACCTTTCCTGACCCGGTGCAGACCAAATTAGTCGGAAAATTAGAAAGAAAAGCAAATCGTTGAGCGCGCTGTTTTCATTTTTATTTTTTTATTTTCTAATGTTTGTTAGCCAGCGCGCTGTTTTGGTAATAACGGAGCCTTGAGGTATTGTCATCGGACTAACCAGTCCAGGTAAATTCAATCTTGTGTCTAATCTGACATCGGGTGGCCCCACCAGTACCTCCACGTTTTTAGGCCATTAACGCGGTGGCTGAATCAGTGTGCTGCGGGGGTCCATATGCATTTGCATCACACCCTCCCCAGAGGGGGCCTAAGACCCCCAGGGCGGCCTTTTCAGCCAGGGTGGCCTTATTGCCTTCAAGGAACCCCCACACTGGGGGACACCGGCCAGGGGACAGTCGGTAGCAGAGGGACCGAGCATCATCTGAGTGGCCAGTCGCTGTGCCTCCCTGATCATCCCTCCCCCTATGAACATCAGCAGAGACTGCTTTTAAATGCCAACAGGGGGAACCAACGGGCTATCTTTAGGTGGCCGGCGCCAGGCATGCCCAGGACGATACATGAGGCCAATGGTGGGGATTGAACCCAAGACCTCCTGGATGCCACTTGCGTGCCTTACCAACTGAGCTAGGCCAAGCCATGCGCAAAGGCAACAACTTTCCAACTTGTCTTTGGGGAGATTGGAACGGCACAGAGAGAAGACTTTTTTTTTTTTTTTTTTTTTTTCCAAAGGCAGAGAGAAGGTTAGCATTTCCCCTGAGAAAGGCACTCTTGCCCAGTCCCATCCCCAACCAATGTTATGTAATCTAACAAAAACCAAAAGAAAAGCGAAAGAAAATGAGCAGCCAGAAAAACAAAATCATATATTACCAAGGTACTAAAACAGACTAAGGGCCTCGTTAGACACTCCTTGTGGACCCGAAATCCACAAGGAAATGATCGTTCCACCTGTCCTTGGGGGCGATTCTCGAAAAAAAAAGTGAAAAAAACACCAGAAGGAGATTTCCTTGTGGCGTCCTTGTGGCCACAGCCAATTTTTCATTAACCCAGGGGACCTCCCGAGGTCCCTCGGAGCACAAGGAAGCGCGAATTTTGGAGCGGCGAAGGCATGCGTCGACGCACAATTTCGGTTTGAGGGTGGTCCAGACGTGGTCCAGCGAACCGGATCACGGACATCCCTGCGTCCAAAATCTGCACGGCGCCCCAACGGCTCCAAACGGTAACCGGCGTCAGGAGGCCTCCGTCCGTCGACGCGAAATGCCTGCAAGCGTCCAGTCGGGTCTGCTGCGGCGGGCGACCGTCGACAATGGTCCGAAATCCGAATGCTTTTCCCACCCGGCACCCTTTCGATGGCAACAGTCTCATTGGGCAAGATCGTCGTTTTCTTCGATTGTCGTCACGCCTCGCACGTTGGAGCACAAAACTTTCACCGATCTTTCTTCTGTCGACGGGCTAATTCGTTGAACGGTCGACCACGGACGTCACACTGAAGTCCTTTGAATGGCCCTTACATGGCCGACCTGCTGCACAGGCTGCCTCTGCTGGTCCTCGTCGTCGTGCTGCTTCTCGTCGTTGTCTTCTTCCACGTGTGTTTCATCGGCCTCGTCCCCCTCGCGGCTCGCAGAAGGAGATCTTGGAAGAAAGCCGACAGGATGGATCGACGACTGGGCAACGGTAGACCGGCAAGCACAACCTCCGGAGAAAGCAATCGGCAACACGGTGCGGGGTCTGTGGCGAAGCGGCCGTACGACCCGAGGTTGTATGCACACCTGCCTTCTCACGAGATTCCTCTACCGCGTCGGATGACGAGAGGGGAGACGCCATGTTGTCGACTTTGCCGTTGGGAAGTGGGTCGACGCAGGAATGGGCGGCGACGCAGTCATGCGGAGGCAGGCGGGTGAAGACCCTGTGGTCTTACACGTCACTGCAAAGGCTCCCTGTAGAACGTGACCCGCCGTTGAAGATGAGGCGCACACGCCTCCGCGATTTCCCTAAACACTCGCGGCGACATTCGAAGCTTATCCCGGAAGTAGTCGTCTGTCGCGTCGTCGCATTGCCTGAGGTTTTCCCACGTGCCTCCTGTCCTGCGCTTCACCCACCACCGCGGCGTCGCACGTGGTATCACTCCGCAACCCAACGAGTAGCACAGCTCAAGAACAGCCTCCGACGTCGCCACGTATTCGGCCCCATCGCACGGATCTTGCCTCAATTTCCTCCGTCTACGCGCGCGCAACTGCTCCTTCAGTCGTCCCAGCACCCTCTCCTGTTGACATCGAAGAACGATCGTGGAGACGGCCGTCGCCACGGCCTGCAGCTCACAATGAGTCAACACATCACGTCTACCCTCTGCGCCGCCCTCCATAGCCGCGACGTGGAAACGGTCCCGTCGTTCCGCTGCCGTCTGTGTAGTACTTCCGCACGCGACGAAGAAGTCGAAGGCGTCCGTCGAAAGGCGGCCCCTTTTCTATGCTTATAGTCCCGCAAACGGCAAACAGGAGCAACGCGCAGTCCACGTGTGCAAAGGTCCACGACGATGAAAGCACCACACGCTGCCTGCGCAGTTGCAACGGCCCGGGGACGGAACCTCCGCTGCCGCTGAGCCCCTTTCCGCAGCACGCCACCCTCGCGCCGCCGGGCACACGTCGTCGTCGTCATCGTAGCAGTCGCTCGAATTTTGAATTTCAAATGCCCACGCCCTTGGGGTTAAATTTCTTTTCGCGTAGCCCGCCGTCTGCCGTTTCGCGCCTCGCGTCGCTGGACCACGCCGCCTCCACACGGACAAAAGAAGCTAGACCAAGGACGTCCGACCCCGCGGCCGCTAATTTACGTATGAAAATGGCCGCGGGGAAGCCACAAGGAAACATCCTCGGGGGACGTCCCCAAGGATGAGTGGAACGACGCCGCAAATTCCCCTAAAAATCCACAAGGACGTTTCCTCGTGGCTCAAGGAAACTGTAAGGAGGGTCTAACGAGGCCCTAAGGCAAACTCATTTTATCTACCTATCCCAACATTCTTGTAGTCAAATCAAGTCCATTGTGCTTCTATACACTGCTACAGTAGAGGTAACCTACATCCTGTAGTCACGGCTCTATTCTATCTAGTTGGCCAAATCCTATTATCCTATCTTTTATTGTATCTGTGAAGTCATACACAGCATCTCACATCCCACCCCATTCATCTATTAGTACATATGTACAGTTGGTGTGAAGTTCTCATTTGTTGAGTTTCAGAGGTCCAAAGCCGTCCCTGAACTAGGTCAAGAAAAATTTTAAAAAGACCAAAGTGGGAAGAGTTCCCACCGACAAGGTAGCTACACACAACCCTTCGAAAGAGCCCCATCTGGCCTGAAACCATTTGGTCGCTTTGTTCGTGCGTCCTTTCTTCTGGACACGAAGTTCCCATTCAGCTGATATTGTCAATTTAATGTTGTATTTGACCTCCGCTCTGATCATAGGGGGAGTAAGTTGCTCCCCTCTGCGGACAACCAAGTTTCGCAGGTTCCAAAGAGTCATTAGGTTAGCCCCATGGATTGTTTCTTCGGCATGAGGACGATTGAGCAAGGGTAGCTGTCGCCTGGGACTATGGGACTGCCTTCTCTAGAATGGTGGTACGTGTGGGCCCGTTGTAGAAAAATCGGCGGGTGGCCTGTGTTGCGGAATATGTAGATTGGCTGGTCGATGGTTATGAGGTGGCTTCGGTATCAAGGGCGATGGGTTGTGGCCTGACGTTATTGTGGGTAGCGTTGACCCTATTYGCCGTGACGTTTTTTTTTGTCCTCCCCATTCAGTACGCATAGTATATATTGGTGTTTGGCGATAAGTTGGACATCCTCCGCGAACTGAAGACCCTTGAAGAGTCCGGTGGCGGCCGACCGAAACGTCGGGTCATTTCCGCCAAGCACTTCATGTTACATTTTTCGATAACAGTCGCGCTCCGGATTACCTTTGGTTTACTATTGCGTACTGTCATATTTCTTTCTTTCTTCTTCTTCTCCCCTTCTCCTTATCCTTCGTTTTTTGTTTCTTCTATTTTCCTTTCTCTCGCCCTTTCCTTTGTTGTTGTGTTGTTTGGTGAACCACGGTGCATGTTGTACTTGAGTTGTCACTCGGTATCTAGCTGTGCGCTTTGACTGTACACACTTTGTTACACGGAGTAACCACCGTAGGAATTAGACTACTGGTTGTGTGGCTTCGCATATCTCTGTTGTTAGCAGTCTGTCGCTATGGCGAACGTTCCGACAGGTACCCTATGTACATGCTATAACTGTGGAGACCCTAACCATTTTGCTCGATGGTGCCCCCATCGGCAAAATTCTGTTGCTTCCGCCACTGCACCTCCACTACTCGCCCTCCCAGCTTCCGCTCCTACTTCCTCTAACCCACCACCTCCCCCACCTCTACCCCCACTGCCTGCGCAAAATGCTTCTTCTTCTACCCCTACTACATCTACTATGGCAACTATCTCTGGTACGACTAATACGAGTGGGCAGTATGCGAAAGGAAGTGGTTGGTTTAATACCAACCAGCGGGTTGCAGTGTTAGAAGAGAATGTGACGTTATTGAAGAACTGGTACGATGCGGAGATGGCTAAATTGTTGGCCAAACGGCAGGAAGAAGAGCGGTTGCGGAAGAAGCATGAGGAAGAAGAACGAAGAGTCAAGGAGAAGCAAGATCGAGAGAACTTTCAGAAGGAGCTTAGTGATGTGTGGAATGCCAAGTTTGAATCTGTGTGTGGAACCTTGTGTTCTAATACAACTCCAGCGGATCGGGACCTCGAGATGCTGAAGAAGCAGATCGAGGATCTTAAGGTCAGTCAAAGGCATGGTGTGCTGCATTCTGGCGCATCTACCAGCAACCCGTCCGTAGGCAATGATGCCCTTTTGGCTCGGGTACTCTTGGAACACGAAGATATGAAATCGAGGCTGGAAAATATGGCTGGGGCTTGCAAAAGGGTCGAGATGTTGGAAGCAGAGCTACGCCAGTTGAAGCAGTCGCGGGAGGAGGCTCTGCAGGAAGCCGAAACTTGGAAGAACGAAGCTCTGAAGTCAGGCAACAAAAGGAGCAGGTTGGCTACTTCACCGTCATCTGGGCTCAAGATGCCCCCTGCGGCCACCTTGGCTCCCAGTAAGGAGCGGCGTGGCGTTGGAACTTGTCAGTTAGGGGAGCTACATAATTTGGAGGTCGATGCCCTGAAGGGAATGAGGTTGCAGGAGTTGGACTGGCGATGGGAGGCTGAGCAGGAGAATGAGCGACTAAAGGAACAACGGAGAGCGATAGAACGTGAGAATGCCAGACTCAAGGAAGAACTGGTCAAACGAGATGTGGCGAAACGTACACCGGTGTCCAACTTTTGAGAGCGACTTGATGAAGTGGATGCAGTGGCTGGAGGATCCGAATAAAAAACTATCAGGAAGAAGAAAGTGGGTGGCGGTGATGAGGATGGCAGAGACAACGATCGTGATGCTTTTCTACGTGAGGCACGCAAACAGTTTCGCAACCTGAAAAAGGACGATGTGATGGAGATTTGCATGAAGGAAGGTGTTAAATACACAACACTGACGGAGACTGTTTTGGAAATCATCACGAAGCGAGCTGATCGTGCATTCGGCAAGAGGGTGGTGGTTCAGGAAATCTCTGACGATCTTGTTGGTAGGACGCAGGATGATGGTAAGTCCGACGGGAGGGACTCTGCTACGTCTTAGGGTCCTTCCCGAGTGCGACTACGTTGTGGTCTATAGCACGTTCTTGCTCTCATCTACGATCGCTGTCCAATCGTAATCTTCGTCTTAAGATTCTTGATTCCCTCTTCCGTCTTGTTGTTCTTGCGCTCATTTTCTTGAAGTCTATCCCATGGGCCGACAAGTTAATTCCGTATCTGTCTTGCTGGTGGAGATCTGGTGGCGTGATGAAAGGTCCTCTAGTCTATGTCCTTGTCTCCCTCTGGTGTAGGCTCCTGTATGTAGGCAGTACTCGACGTGAGCTTGTGGTACGATCGAGTGAGCGTATTTACCCGAGTGTGTGATGTCTCTCTTATTGAGAAAGGTAGGGGAAACGAGCGACTCTACCGATGGTTACGAAGATGTGGTGCTGGAAGGTATGTTGCGATCCCTATTTGCTGTTGTTCTGACGAAGACCTAGAAGCTACGGACAAATTTTTTATTTGTCTTTTTTCCGCCTCTCTCAACGCTCGAGATAAACCAAGGAGGAATAGGAAACGGAGATTAGGAAAGAGGGAGAGAGCACGTGCGTTGCGTCAACAGGTGGTGGTAGGCAGTCGAGTAAATTCTGAAATATCGGATGGTTCACTATTAACATTTCACTCGTCTCTTGGGGTTGTGTCGACTAGTCTATTTAAGATACTCAACCACTGTCGGGATCGATGTATTTCGTCCATGTTGGTTATATGTGCTGGTGGACGAGTACTATTAGATAACTGGAAGGTGATTAAGCGTTGTTTTGGCTCTTCCATTGTATCTTGCAAATTTGGTCGGGACCAGTTGCGGCGGTCGCGAGGATGGTTGAAGGAGGGTACTGTCCTTAACTTTGAAAATGTCGTGCCTTTCTACTACGAATCCCTTTTGCTGAAACCTCGTCTTGCTGGCTTTCTCAGTCTACCTTCCACTCGTAAAATTCTGCAGACATGGGACTTTGGCCATCTTGTCTATGCCTTCTCTGCTATTAGATGTTTCCAGGACAAACGTTCCCGTGGTCGATTGCACACTATTCTATCTAAAGTGGTGCTAGCAAAATTTGGGGTGTCGGTGAGACAACGCTTGGTGATCCGGATTACCTATGATCATCGTCTTTGTAAGACTGCTATTCGCAAGGTGTGCTCTCAATTGGTTGGTGATCTGATATCAGAAGCTTCCTGGAAGGCGATGATAATCCGTCGCATGCGGGTCGTTTTTTGTTGGAACCAGTCAGTTGGTGACGTCATTCATAATTTCCGATCCGTAGCCAGGGATGGAAACTTTACTTGTTGTTGTAGGAATGTGGATGGAAGTTTTCCACGTGAAGATGGCCATGTTGTTTTTCGATTTGCCTCACGCGATGATCTCCCTTCTTTCATGTTGAACTCCAGGAATATTTTATGTCCTTCGGTTACTCGTCCTCTATCTGGTCTCAAGCGGCAGATCCTACAATCTTTCAACTCATCTTTTCTTCCCCCTCTGGACCCTCAGACTCTGTATTGAGTGGATCTGACTTCTTGTCTCCTTCGATCTCCCACCTTTCTGGCTCCAGATACTAGTACTTGTACTGTTGATGATGTACGGAGGTTCCAAGATAAGTTGGACGGGTTGGTTTTCTCACCCCTGGACCATAATCCGGGGGATACTTTGGCCTGCTGCCCTGTTGTATATGGGTTGGGCATGAAGAAGTTATTTTTGGATAATCCGTCATTCGAAGAGTCATTGGATTCGGAAGCTGCGATTCTGGCCAGATGCAGACGATCGTATGTGGATAGTGCTTTTCAGAAGGTTGGTGGGTGGAAGAAGAATGCCATGCTCGGACTCGCCTACTGCCTGGCCAAGCACAAGGATATCTAGCGATGGCGACCCATCTGTCCCTCCCATTCGGAAGGTTTAGTGACGGCGGCAAAGCGGGTGGCGCGAGCGATTAATTGTATGCTTTGGCAACTCCCCTGTAGCCTTCACTTCAATCTGCGCCGAATGGATGAGTTGATGCGAAGGATTGAAGATATTAATAAGATGTTAAAGAAGGGCGATGGAATGTTGGGAGGTTCTTTCGACATCAAGGAAATGTTTTCGAACCTATCGCATGAGGCCATTCTACGAACACTTCGATGGATTCTCGACAATTGGACCGGTGAGGGTGTTGAGGCGGTGTTGGTACGTAAATTTGGGAAGATGGCGAGACTGCCGAAAGGGCGAGGAGAAGAAGGATGGATGCGGTTGGGGATGGACACCATCCTGTCTTTCGTGAAATTTGCATTAAACCATACGTATGTTGTTGCAGCTGGTAGGGTTACTCGTCAGACCGTCGGTATTCCTATGGGTCAAACCACCAGCCCTGCTTTGGCTTGTCTTCTGTGCGCTCATAATGAGTTCTCTTTCCTTTCGTCTATTGGATGTGATCGGTCGCTCTTGCGCAGCTGTCGTCTTGTTGACTATGTTTCTCTTTTCATCAAATTCCGACCTGATGATGTGATCTCCAGAAGGAAGGCTGAACGATTGCTTGATTCTTTTCGCTCCTGTTATGATGAGAAGTTGGTGTTGGAGCAGACCAACTCCGGCCAACGTTGGGAGTTCATTGGTTGTGAGGTGTTGATTCTGAGCAATCCTGGTCAGATTGTGTGTCGTGCAACTCATAAGAATCAACAGCGGGAAGTTGGTCGGACCCTCCTTTTTCAATGTATTCAAGATTATGCATCTTATTCCAGTCGTAAACAAAAACTGGCTGTCATTACTTCCTTTTTACATCGGGCTCGTACCTATACGTCGGTTCCGGGCATCGAATTTCATTTTCTGCTCACTCTGAAGAATGAGTTGTGGCTAAGAGACTATCCAGATGAGTACTTTGACTGCGCTCTTCGGAACTTCTCAAGGAAATTTGCTGACTGTTGGGATGATTGGATTTCTGTGCTCACGGGATGGAGCCACCTTCTCCATGAGGTGTATGAAAGAAGAGTTGTGAATGGTCGTTAGCGGTATAATTGGTGCAGGTTTGAAGGTGGATATGCCGATGTAGCCATCTATGCTCCCTTGGTGAAGGAAGTGTCTATGAAGTTTGCGGTGGATCTAATTTTCGAGTATATAGGGGGTAACTGGTGGTGAGGTATTAGCTGATTTCGGTAAAGTGGGCATACTATGTTTAAATTTAGTATATGGGTCATAGGCTGTGAATGATATCTGTGGACGTTTGGTAAATGCTGTGAGACATTGGTAGTTACTATGGATCTTGGTCTGTGTTATGGGATATCGGTATGTGGACCTTTGGTGCATGGCGAGGGACCATTGGGCGAGTAGTGGAACTTTTGTGACCCACATTACGGGTTGTGGAACCTTTAAAGGAATAGTTGTACGATCGCGTCTGTTGTATGAGGCTCGATGTACCTTCCAGATTGTTAAAGCCTGTGGTAGGATTCGAATGTTTTCACAGAATGATGGCAGCTCATGTTTGCCGTTCGAGATTCGACGTATGATTTCGGTTGTGAAAAAACGGTAGTGTATGGGACTATGGGACTGCCTTCTCTAGAATGGTGGTAGGTGTGGGCCCGTTGTAGAAAAATCGGCGGGTGGCCTGTGTTGCGGAATATGTAGATTGGCTGGTCGATGGTTATGAGGTGGCTTCGGTATCAAGGGCGATGGGTTGTGGCCTGACGTTATTGTGGGTAGCGTTGACCCTATTTGCCGTGACGTTTTTTTTGGTCCTCCCCATTCAGTACGCATAGTATATACTGGTGTTTGGCGATAAGCTGGACATCCTCCGCGAACTGAAGACCCCTGAAGAGTCAGGTGGCGGCCGGCCGAAACTTCGGGTCATTTCAGCCAAGCACTTCATGTTACATTTTTCGATAACAGTCACGCTAGGGATTACCTTTGGTTTACTATTGCGTACTGTCATATTTCTTTCTTTCTTCTTCTTCTTCTCCCCTTCTCCTTATCCTTCGTTTTTTGTTTCCTCTATTCTCCTTTCTCTCGCCCTTTCCTTTGTTGTTGTGTTGTTTGGTGAACCACGGTGCATGCTGTATTTACGTTGTCACTCGGTATCTAGCTGTGCGCTTTGACTGTACACACCTTACACGCATAAATCGAGAAAAAACTTTCCAACTTGCCATTAGAGTCCGGGGCTAGGTCCCACTAGCAGACTGTATCGGATTAAGAACCTGAATCGGGATAGGTTCCTAGCGGAGATGCAGAAAAGCAGATCAATTAGGGTTTTCTGGATCTGTCCTCCAACACGTCCAGATTCAGGCGTTAAGTCTAATCCTGCGTGCTGGTGGGACCTCGCCCCCGCCTCCTCTCGTCCTTGTTTTGCTTTTTTTTTTTTGGTGGTTCGCATGACTTCGCTATGAAGAAAATCCTCTTGTGGCAATGGATATCAGAAAGCTCAGTTCGCAGGCACCTTTGCGCTCTGCTAAGGTGTCTCTTCTGTCTTTGACTCGTGTAGGATGCCATCGCGGTGAAGAACAAGCAGAGGGCGGCATGATTGAGGGGCGAAGCGAGGGGTTAAAGGGCAGGCGCTGGCTGACGTGGACGGCAAGTGGAAAGCGCCTTTGGGGGACCGCCAATTCCAACCAACCTGCGAGGAGCTCGAGAAAGGGCGCCGTAGCACCTGGACTTCTTCGACTGACATCGGGGCGTAAATGAGGTCAGGTACATACACGATACAGGAAACTTCGACTGTGAATACTCCCTAACACACCGGATGAGCCCGTGCGTTTTGCGCTCATCCGCTATGTCGCATTCCAAATAATTTTTCCTTCGAGATATCTGACTGTCCGGTTTCTCACTCTCTCTCTCTCTCTCTCTCTCTCTCTCTCTCTCTCTCTCTCTCTCTCTCTCTCTCTCTCCAGCCGCGGCCCCTCCTCTTCCCCACCAACGGCCTCGTCCCCGCCATCCAATCTCTTCTCGACAGTTCGGATGTAATGTCACGCCGGTCAAAATGATGCGTTTTGATGGCGAGAAATCAGTGTGTTGTCGACTTGTCGATTTTCTTCTTCGATTTAAAAACTGTTTGAGAGATCTCTAGTTTTACCGTCGCTGAGGAAATAATGAATTTCGTGCCAAAAAAAAAAGGAAAAAAAAAGAAAAGAGAAAACTACGGCGCAGTGAGGGTTTGAGTTTGTAATTGCACTTGAGTCAAAAGGGCCGGTAATGCTGAATGTATATGACCTACGTTTCGGGACCGGTGGGGTTGCGTGGGGGTGTGTTGTATTCGCGGGATTGCCTGAAGTGCAATTACAAACTGTTTTCGTGACTGCGCCGAAGTTACCCCAAAAAAGAATTTCGTGCAGCTCTAATCCGGTATTATCCAGCCCAATCCTAGCTGCCATTTTTTCGGTCAGAGCATATGTGTGAGCGAGGGTTGGAATTGAATTCGCGGAAAACGCTTGCTTTCTTTAATTGAGAGATATGTACCATCGCAATTCACTGCCCTCATTTAACGAACGGGTGATGGGAAATGATCGATGACAACCTCCTTACTTCCATCGGTTCTCTTTTTTCCCGAAAATCTGTCCAATTGATCTGTCAAGGGTTGGAAAAATCGAATAAAGCAATTTCAATCGATGGCTTGTTCTATTGCAAATAACCCCCTGCTTCCCGGATTACCCCCATCTCCCCCCCCCCCCCCCCCCCCCAAAAAAAAAAAAAAAAAAAAGAGAACCAGTGAAGAGCCGATTGAACTTTTCTTCCTGCGGACAATCCCTTAGAGCGACCCAGGGCCAAGAAAATCGGTGCTGGTTGTACCGCCGTTTCCCCTTCTGCGCATGGCCTTACCGCTACCTCGACAGCGTATCCCTGCATTTTTGTGTTCAAGATACACTCCCCCCTGGTCATATTTGGCGAGTGGTGGAATCAGGTAGTGAGTAACACAGCTGGAGGATGCACCAAGGGGGTCATCATCGCACCACGTTCCCCTATCAAATGAGAGAAATGCCCTAAGGAAGACGATTCTATTGGCCTAATCGAATTTCAAATTTTGATGGAAAAGGTTTAGGGAGTGATATTAATTTTTTATAATATAGTGTCACTTTTATTTTAGCACACGGCGAGTGGTGCATCTGAATAGAAGGCGCTCACCCTTTTTTGTTTCCTTCTTTTTTCTTGCGGCATTTTTGTTTGTCTGTGCAAAGGTGAAGTGGGTTGCGAAGACGAAGTGGAGTAATCCTTTTTGCTGGGCGGTGCAGTGCATGCAGGGGTGATCGATGTCATCATCTCTGGTGGATAATCGTTTCTTCGCCGATTGCGGGGCGGCAGGACTTGAATGCCACATCTGTTTACTAGCAGTTAATAGATGTGTGTAGCATTCACAGCTGTTTATTAGCGACAGAGAGGACCGCTGCGTGCGCGACCAGATTCCTCCACCCTCGCCATCCTATTAGGATCGCCATCGCCATCACCGCGGGATTCCCACCTTCTCCCCCGACGTCAGTACAGACGATAGCCACATTTTCTCTCTCTCTCTCTCTCCCTCTCATTCTATCCAGGGGAGGACCCGTAGCTGGGGCTGTTGACAGGAGTTGTTGTCCACCCCTTCCACACCCTCTCTCTCTCTCTCTCTCTCTCTCTCTCTCTCTCTCTCTCTCTCTCTCTCTCTCTGTTGGTTGCCTTGTCCGTCGGCATTTTTCGCACCTGTAAATGTGCTTATAGCTTCACCCAGAGACTGACCACTCTGACTCCTGTCGAAGAGAGGCTTGCTTATAACGGAGCAGTCTCTATTGCATGTCAAAGCTTTCTGTTCTTTCCACCTGGCAAGAGTACTAGGGCGGGCAACTGTATTACCCCCATTACGGCCTCACCGTCTCTCTTTTCCGGCTGTGGTCTGTTTCTCTAAGTCGGACTTGGGAATGTTCAGACTCTTGTTGCTCAAGATGAACCTGTTCGTAATAGTGGGGAGATTCGGCTCAGTGTGCCCAAGTGCATGTGTGCCATCCTCGGTTCTCGTCCCTTCCTGATCGACCACAGCAGAGTCAACCGTGAGGCGCAGAACCATTAAACACTCGTGCCGTTAGGCGCTTTTAGGTGAAACAAACCACACGGTGAATTTTTTTGCCTTCCCTTTCTCCTCCCACACTTCGATTTAACTTTTTTTTCCAACTGTTTCCAATTACTTTCTTTCTCCCGTAGCTTCTTTTTTTTTTTTTTGGAACTGTTTTTCACCTGCTCGCCGCCATCGTAGTGTCCCTTCTCTTTTCCGCCGCGTATCAGATCTTCCAGTTTCTTTTCTGTTCCATCTTTCTTTCTTTGGAGTTGTTGCCTTCCACTTGGCACCTCTGTTTCGTTGCGTGCCGACATTGTTGCCGTTTTGTTGCTCTCTGCACCATTACCAGGAGTCCCCTTCTTAGCACGTTTTAGGTTCTCTTGCAGTCACGTTGCGCCGAGAATCCGCTGCTTCCGCAATGGCAGGTAAGGATGCGGAAAGTGGAATCCAGCTGACACTGCAGGTCAAGGAGTGGGGTGTCATGGAGGGCCAACGGGTCTGGGATGTGTATCATGTGCACCATCGAGAGCAATGGATTGTTTGTATTCGTACGTCTGATCGTAGGTCATTTCGAGTGTGGAATTATGGAAATGACCATCACGTGACCTCGCCCCTTTTTGATGGTCCCATGGAACTTCGAGAGGCAAAATTCTTTGGCGAGAACAATTTGGTACTGTCACTCAAAGAACCCTATGGCCCCAAGTTGGAACACGGATGTTGTTCGCTGTGTCTCTATAAGATCACTTCTGGCCTCCAACTGCAGCATACACAGACACTCAATGTCACCGGCCGTGCCAATATGGTGTCTTTGGATTCACATCCCACCACCGTGTGTATATTATTAGGTACTTTTTATTCTTCTAGGCTCTCTCAAAGCAGCAGCGCGATTAACTTTTGGGATTTAGACCGGGATCTCCACAGGAAGGCAAGTCTTGAGGATTGTGCTATAATCACTGTGCTCATCAATACTGCCGAGCCGGACATTTTTCTTAGTTATGGTCTTCATGGTGGCACCCGTGCCATCAAGATTTGGGATGCGAAAGAGATGGTTGTTCTCCAAACATTCCAAATGGACGAACAGGTTATTCGTACGGGATTCTGCGCTCGACCCCAAGGGTCGCTTTTCATCACAGGCCATCAATCTGGCAAGCTGCAGGTCTGGGATTATAAGAGGAAAGAATGTGTGACAACTCTCAATGCACGTGAAGGGGCCGTTGCGGGAGCTTTCTTCCATCCGCACTTGCCGTACATATTCAGCACATCCAGGGACGGAATTATCAAGGTCTGGAGTGATTGCAACTATCAGTTGATAAAAACGCTTTGCACTGTTGAGGAGGGCGTGTTCCACATTCAGCTCAGAAATGACAACGTGCTTGTGGTCGTGTGTAAGGGAAATAAATTGCGCGTCGGTACAATACAAGATGTGCGTCAGAGGCCCGACTTCGAGAAGAGAGGAAAAATGGACGTCGGAAACGTGAGGGAAGAAGAATGTGACAGAAAACTCCAACTTCAGAAAATGGAAGTATAGAGGATAAAAAAATTGGAGGCCGAGCTGAGCGCTGTGAGGGTGGAGAGGAAGGCACCGGAAGAGGGATCTGAGAAAGAGAGGCAAACACACACGCAGAGAGTAAAGGAGCTTGAGACTGAGTTAAGCAAGGTAAGGATGGAGAGGCAGGCATTAGGAGAGAGGTTTGAGGAATTGCAATCGGAGCATGACAGGGAAAAAGCCATGCACTCAGAAAGGATGAAGCACCTGGAGAAAGAAAATGGCAATCTGTCGGTGGAAAGAGAGACACTCAAAGAGAGATTTGAGGAATCAAAGGCCAGGGTTCAACATTTGCAATGCAGGTTGGAGATTGAGGGAGGTGCCGCTGAGAGATTGGAATCTGTGAGGATGGAGAGAAGGGTGCTTGAGGAGGGATTCGAGAAAGAGAGGCAAAAGTATGCAGAAAGGTTAAAGGAGCTCGAGACCGAGCTACGCAATGGGAGGACGGAGAGGCAGACATTCGGAGAGACATTTGAGAGGTTCCAAACAAAGCATGAGAGGGAAAAGGGCCTCTATATTGAGAAGATCAAGCAGTTGGAGAATGAAATACGCAATGTGTTGGCCGAAAGGGAGGTATTCGAACGGAGATTGGGAATGTCTGGTGGAGTCCCAAAGGAAGTTTTGAAAGTAGATCTGCATCCGTTCAGAGAGTTTTCCTTGGACGAATTGGAGTCTGCCACAAATGACTTCAGCGATAACTGCAAACTTGAACAACGACATTACGGATGTGCTTACATGGGAAAGATCACACCCGTGACAGTAAAGAGGCAAAGCATTGCACGAAGGTTAAGGGAGCTTGAGACTGTGATAAGCAATATAAGGATGGAGAGGCAGGCATTAGGAGAGAGATTTGAAAGATTTCGATCAGAGCGTGATAGAGAAAAATGCCTGCAGTTAAAGAGAGTCAGCGAGTTGGACATATGTTGACAGAAAGCGAAGAACTCAAAGAAAGAATGGAGAGATCAAAGGTCGGGCTTCAAGAATTGGAATGCAAGCTGAAGTGGAATGCGGCGTAGGAGACAGATAGAAAAGGTTTGATTGTGTACCCCCTTCCCCGGATTGATGATTTGCTGGATGCGATTGGATGTGCTAATTATTTCAGTAAATTTGATATTCGCCATGGATTCCATCACATTCTGGTTAAGGAGGAGGATGGCTAAGGCTTTGATCAGATAATCGATCGGAGATGACTGGCATTCCTCTGGGGCGCAATCCAGAAAGGACCGTTTTTGGTTCTCTCAGACCTGGGCACTAAAGGATACCTGGTCCAAGATTAATGCAGAAGGCAAGCTTAGCCTTGCAAGCTGGATTCTGCCAGACTCATCGTGAAAGGCCTCGCATTCTGATTAGGGCCGCAAGTAGGCCAGATTCGGTAATCTGCTCGGTGTTGTACTTTTTTGCACATTTTTCTTGAATAGGAAGAATGTGGGACTGAGATCTCGTTGGCTTGTAGCTTTGGCCGTAGTAGTGTTTACGCTAGTTAATGTTGATCAAATGGATTATTAGTGGGAAATTTCATCTTTCTTTCAGTACTAGTGCTGGCAGTAGTAATCATGCTTGACTCTGTATGACTTCTTTTACCAGATCTGGTTTTTTCTGAAAGATAGTTAATGAAGTGGTTTAGGTCTTAGGGTGGGGATGTGCTTCTCATATTTTAAAGTAGCCTTCAACAGGAGAGTTGGTTGGTTGGCTAGGGTAACAGCAGGGGGAGGAAGGTTGGGGGAGGAAGGTTGGTTGGCCTTTTCTAGAAGGTGAAGTGTGAGAATCATCTAGAGGGTCCTTTAAAGGTCCTTGTAAAAAGCGAACACTGGGTAAGGCTCCCATATCAGACTTTTCATTTCTTTTGGGGTAGACTGTGAGGACCCCGCCCTCATCAATCATCTTTTTCAAAGTAATAGGAGCCTTGGGCACTGGGCCCTATTTTGGAAAAAAAAAGGAAAAAAAAGCGATAATTTGTGAAATACCCCTATAAGTTGGGATATATGACAAAATGCCCCTATAAGATGTGGGTAAAGCGGAATACCCCTCTGACACAAAAATAGTTTTGCGAAATGCCCCTGGCGTTGGTTGGACCTGTCATCTTTGCAAAATACCCCTACCGGGTACTGTCCATGTTTGCAAAATGTCCTGGTAGTTGCCGTCTTTTCCCAGGCCCTATGTATTTTCGTCTTACCCCTAATGGCCCAGGTGATCTTTGTGTTTTGCCCCTTTGCTATGCGTAAGTGCCTATGTGTGTGTGTGTGTGTGTGTTTGTGTGTGTGAGAGAGAGAGAGAGAGCGAGAGAGAGAGAGATGGGAAGCGGGATAGCCGCTAGCAGGAGTGGCGCACAGCAGGGGAGGGAGAGAGAGAGAGAGAGAGAGAGAGAGAGAGAGAGAGAGAGTTTTCCAGCCATGCATGCAGAGAGAGAGAGAGAGGCTACGTCCATCAAAGGATGAGCAAAATAGGAATGAATCTTCCAGTAGAAATGGATATATACACTGCTTTCCAGCCCTGAGGGCACCAAGATAGAGAGGGGCTACTTCCATCCATAGGATGAGCAAAATGGGAATGGATCTTTCGCTACATTATGAAAATGTACACTGCCACTTTTTTTTCCTTTTTTTTCGTGTGTGTGTGTGTGTGGGTGTGTGTATTGCGAATATGAGAACACACACACAAGTGCGGCAGCGTATATTTCCATGTTCTTGCAGTAGATTCATTCGATTTAGCTCAGCCAGCGGATGGGTTGGAGACTTACCTGTTGGCCAGCGTGTTGCTCATCCTATCCGTGGAAAACTCTCTCTCTCTCTCTCTCTCTCTCTCTCTCTCTCTCTCACACACACACACACACACACACACACACACACACACACACACACACACACACACACGGGGGGAGGAAGATGAATGAAGCTGCCCAACATGGAGGCAAACTGCCCTGCGGACAGGCCTGGGTATTGCGCATAGCTGCCCACCTGGTATCGAGGGCAGACCGGGTAAAACAGGGTGCAGGGCCCAGGACCCAATGATGAGGTCCAGATTGCAAATTTGCACATGGGTCTGACAGGGGCGAAACGCAAAGAATTAGGCCCAGAAGGGCATTCCGCTCTACCCACATCTTTTAGGGGCATTTTGGCATATATCTCAACTTATAGGGGTATATTGCAAATTGTCCCAAAAAAAAAGGACGACACGCATAAATCGAGAAAAAACTTTCCAACTTGCCATTAGGGTCGGGGCTAGGTCCAACAAGCAAACTGGATCGGATTGAGAACCTGAATCGGGATAGGTGCTTAGCGGAGATGCAGAAAAGCAGATCAATCAGGGTCTTCTGCATCTGTCCTCTAACACGTCCAGATTCGGGCGTTAAGTCTAATCCTGTGTGCTGGTGAGACCTCGCCCCCGCGTCTTGTTCTCCTTGTTTTTCCCTTTTTAATTTCCCTTTCGAGGTCTGCCTGGCTTCACTATGAAGAAAATCTTATTTAAAAAAAAAAATAAAAAAATAAAAAAAATCCTATTGTGGCAGTGGATATCAGAAAGCTCAGTTCGCAGCTGCACCTTTGCGCTCTGCTAAGCAGTATCTTCGGTCTTTCACTCGTGTACGATGACATCGCGGGAAAGTACAAGCAGAGGGCGGCATGATTGATGGGCGAAGCGAAGGGGAAAAGGGCAGGCGCTGGCTGACGTGCTTAGGGGGACCGCCAATTCCAACCAACCTGCGAGGAGCTCGAGAAAGGGCGCTCTAGCACCTGGACTTCTTCGACTGACATCGGGACGTAAATGAGGTCAGGTACATACAGGATACAGGAAACTTCGACTGTGAATACTCCCTAACACACCAGATGAGCCCCTGCGTTTTGCGCTCATCCGCTATAATGTCGCATTCCGGATAATCCTTCATTCTCTCTCTCTCTCTCTCTCTCTCTCTCTCTCTCTCTCTCTCTCTCTCTCTCTCTCTCTCTCTCTCTCTCTCTCTCTCTCACACACACACAACATGATATACCTGTCTCTTATACACATCTAGATGTGTATAAGAGACAGATGATATACCGATCGGAATGTGTCCTATTGGAGAGTAAACGGATGTGTGGCTCTTCATGGATCTGAGCTGCATGACCAATTCCTATGAGAGAAAACGAATAAAGAAGTCTCAAATTCTCTGAATAGCTCTCGCTTCGATAACGGCAATAGAATGCTCTTGTTTGGGAAAAAGTTATAGATGGCCCCTGCGACAAAACGTTTCTACTCGTTTGCCTCCAGACCGTGGCAAAAGGTCCGGCATGCCCCCGAAAATGCCTCAGGCCTTTCGGGGCCTTGGACACTTTGGGCGCGCAAACGAGTACAATTTACAAACGCGGGGGAATCTATAAGTTTTCCGCTCTTTTTTTTTGTGTTTTTTTTGACATGATAGCAAGTGGGCGTTCATTTTTCGATTGATGTAGTATCATTATATCGGTATTTCAATCTCTTTTTCATAATAGGGCTCGCATCTCACCTCGCATTCGAGCGTTCTGGGTCTAGCCATGACATTGCAAGTGAGTGTATCGAGAGACCTGCTTTTCCCGAGATACACCCACTCAGAATTTCCACATTTGGTGAGCTATCAGCGAAACGGGGCTCTCAGCTATGTTACCAGACTGGCCCGCGCCGAGCTAAAAATGATTGCAATAAATAAACAAATATCTATATATATATATATGATATATATATATCTCGTCACAAACAGAACTGCCCGCCAGTGCCCGGTAAACCGTAGGCAGAGAGAGAGAAGAGGACAACAAACGAGGGGCTGTGACAAACTGTTTCGTCAGAGTTTCACCGACTCATCAGGAGGCTGAACCCTCAACAGTCTGCAGAATCCCCTCACTGATTACACTGTAAATGATAATCTACCTTAA